AAAATACACACCACACACTAATATACTAAAATACATACATTTTATTAACAAACACTAATACACCAAAAAACACACATAATACATCAAAAAAGCATAGACATCAACACACTAAAACAAACTTTACACATACACACACAAATGCACCCCCCACAAACTGTTAATACACACTAATACATAACAAAATAAACACATTAATACATCCAAATACACACACACACACACACATACACATATTAATTCACGAAAATACATACATTCTATCACATGTAATGTTAACACAGGCTAATCCACAAAAATGTAAATATTAATCCACCAAAAACAAAGACAAAAATATAACAAAACACAACTATTGTCTAAATACAAATGCGCACACACTAACACACTAAAACACACAGACACACCAATTACCATATTCTTGAACACCCACACACCGTGTCAACGCACAAATATACCGCAAACATAAATACACACACACTAATACAACAAACAAATAAACACACTTTTATTGAAACACAAACTAACACATACACCAAAAAACACAAGCTACCACAAAAAACACACTGATAGACTGATACAACAAAGAAATACAAGCATACTAATACAAAAATATATATACACAAACTAATATGTGTTCAAAATTAAAAGAGCTTATTAAATTTTACGGGATAGGTCATTAATCAAAGTAACACTCACATAATGCACATTAAGGTTTGCTAGGATGTGTCAGAGATGCGCTGACTTACACTTTGCATAGTGTGTTTATTAACAATGTATGTATTTTTGTGTATTATTATGTGCATTTTACAAAAAAGAGAGGGGGAAAAAAGCTAACAAAATCATACAATAAAATCTATACCATATGTTACTCAAAAGAAATATCTACACCTGTCACAAACTCGTCTAAAAGAAAATTTGCAGCCACTTGGATTGCTACTTTACAAGCCTCCCAAATTTCTATGGATTGGTCTTCCCTCAACCACCCTAAGTTACTACACACAATAAGCAATAGCACACAATTGAGTCATAGCAACAAGATATAATATTCAAGCAAAAATCTACAACAATTACAAACTCACTTAATGGTAAATCTGTAACTGCTAGGATTGCTACTTTATGAGCCTCCCAAATTTCAATAGGTTGGTCTTTCCTCCATCATTTTAAGGAACTATAACACTCAATAGGAAATATTACACATCAAGTCATAGCACAAAAAGTTAAGAATTAAAATACTATATAAGCAACTATGACGACAGAATAGTTGTAATAAGTTTGTCTTTCCTATTACAACCACTAATACACAAAAACACAAATACACAACAGTATTACAGAAAAACACAAATACTAGTACATGAAAAACACACAAACTAATACACCAAAGCACAAACAAGTACACTAACACCCTAAAAACACACACACAAAAATAAATTATTATACAAACAGAAACAAATATGCATATGTCATTACTTAAACACACACATAAACACACTATTATCAACACACAAACTAATACGTAAAAAAAAATACACACACTAATATACCAAACTACATACACAATGTTAACAAACACTAATACACCAAAAAATACACATAATACATCAAAAAAACAATGACACTAACACACCAAAACACACGATTACACGGACACAACACACACACACTAATACACACCCCACAACTCTATTAATACATACTAATACACCACAAAATAAACACATTAATACACCTAAACATATGCACACACATAAGTTAACCAAAATACATACACTAGATCACATATAATGTCAACATAGGCTAATACATCAATATATAAATAGTAATCCACTAAAAACAAAAACACTAATGTAACAAAACACGCACTATAATCTAAACACAAATGCACAGACACTAACACATCGAAGCGCACACACACTAATAGCATATACATGCACACCCACACATAGTGTTAACACACAAATACACCGCAAACAAATACAAACACCCACACTAATACAACAAATAAATAAATACGGTATTATAAAAACACAAACTAACACATGTACTAAAAAACACACACTCTGTTCACACACACCAATACCACAAAAAACACACTCATAGACTGATACACCAAAAAAATAAAAACATGCTAATACGCAAAATACACACAAACTAATAAACGTTCAGAGTTAAAAAAGTTGATCAAATTATATGAGATAGATCACTAATCAAAGTAACACTCACATATTGCACATTTAGGTTCACTAGAATGTGTCAGAGATACACAGAGCACTTACACCTTGATGAGTTTGTGTGTTAACAGTTTAAGTGTTTTTGTGTAGTAGTATGTGTATTTTTTTACATATTTGTATGTGTATGTGTGTATGCAAACTTTGATGTATTAGTGTGTGTGTGTGTGTGTGCGTTTACAATTTGTGTAAACTTTGAATGTGTGGTTTAGTGTCATAGTATGTATTTGAATTTTGATATATTAGTGTGTGTGCGTGTATGCATTTTGGTGTATTAGTGTATGTGTGTCTTTTTTTCTTAACTTGTAAATTTAAAGATTCATCACAACAATTAAATCAAAGTCTATGTCAGTAGTGAAAACTTTGGATCACCACTACAATTATTAAGAAAATATATCATTAATATTTTAAAATGAAAACTAGAACATCTATCAAAAAACATCAAAAAGAAAGTCAAGTCATGTGAAAATGCAAGAAACCAACTTGTATGCCCTTCAAAAGTAGGTGTGCAGTTATGTCTCTTGAACTTGGATTACCATGGACAAAAACCGATATTGTTCTTTCGTATTTACTGTAAAGTTGTAGTGAACTTTAGTCTAAAGTTCGGCACCCTATTTGGCAAAAAGTATATAGAATAAAATTTGAGTTAAAAAGACATAAATGTCAATTTTAGGGTTATTTAATTCAAAATCTCTTATCATTAATGCACCTTGATTAATTTGTGTTTGTTAATACAAATAAATACGTATTTAATGCACCTTTGATTCCTGAGTATTTGTTAATACATACATATATATACTTCTTTATATACATGTATATATGAATATATATAATATACTTGTTTATATACACGTATATACAAATATATATACTTATTTATACACACACACACATATATATATATATATATATATATATATATATATATATATTTGTTGTTAAATCTCTTTTTTAAATTTTGAATTATCTTTAATGCACTTTGATTCATGCATATTTTTTTTTTAAAAGTGATTTTGTTTTCAAATTTTATTTAATGCATCTTGATTGAAGTGTTTTTTGTTTTTGAAAAATAGTTTTATTTTTAAATTAATTTAATATTCGAATAATGTAATAATATAACAATAACAGTGTAATAAATACACTGTAACAAAGACAGTGTAACAAATACACTGTAACAAAAACAGTGTTCAGTAGTTTTTTGTATATGGTAACAAATTCAAAACGGAGATGGACTATTTTGAATGAAATTATATAAAATTATATGTTTGACAAAATGTAATAGTACAATATTTTGTGTAAATTGCTTGTTACACTATTATTTTTATACTGTTACATTGTTACACTTTACATTGTTACATTGTTATTGTTACACTATTACACTATTCGGATATTAAATTAATTTGAAAATAAAACTACTTTCTAAAAAAAATGCATAAATCAAGGTGTATTAAAAAATAATTCAAAATTTAGATAAGAGATTTAACAACAAGTATATACTTATAAGATGTTTAATGCACCACTTTTCAAAGAAAAGTAGTGCGTTAAATACACATTGATTAATAGAGGGCAAAAATATCACAATAAAAATAGATAAATTCAATTTATGTACTTGGATACAAATAAGTATCACAATTAAGTACTTAATAACCCTATATTTTTTAATGTGTACTTTTTGCCAAAAGAGTTTTTGGAAGTCGGTACACCTAATTAGACTTATTTGACAAAAAGTATATATTAAAAAATGTTTTGAAAAAATGTACACTAGTTAGATACAAATACATAAATGCCCATTTTAGGGAAAGTGGTACATTAAATATCTCCTAATTTTATAGGAAAATTTTAATATTTAATGCATATTAATACATATATATTTGTTAATATATATATATATATATATGTGTGTGTGTGTGTGTGTGTATTTATATACATATATTGTATATATATATATACAAGCATGTATATACGTGTAAGGTGTTTTACCTTATGCCTCACTTTACTTAATGGAAAGTGTAAAATGTTACATGTTAACATTGAAAGTATAACACTTTCACACTCTCTCAATTAATTAGAATTTTTAGTGTAAGATGAGACATGAATATTCTGTTTATGTAATACTTTAGATAATATCTTCTCTTACCTTGTGTAAATAGCTTGTTACATTGTTATTGCTACACTGTTATTATTACTTTTAATACTATCCTATAACAATTTACACTTCTCATTAAGAAAGGTGAGACATAAGATAATACTTTACACTTTACACTTTCAATGGTATACTTTACACTTTTAAAAATGTTACATTTTATACGTGTATATATATATATATATATTAATAAATGCACATGAATCAAGGTGCATTAAATACTACAGTTCTTCCATAAAATTAGGAGATATTTAATGCACCACTTTCCAAAGAACATACACATGGATCAATGGAGGACAAAAATGTTACAAAAAAATGAGAAAAATTCAAATTGTGTACTTAAATACAAATAAGTATCAAAATTAAGGACTTAATAACCCTACATTTTTTAGTGTGTACTTTTTGCCAAATAATTCTAATTTTGTGTACCTCCTTACAATTTACCTTTTGTCAAATAAATCTAATTTTGTGTACTCTTTACAATTTACACTTTCATGAATCAGGCCCGAGCCCACTGATTTAAAGCGAAAAGGCTCCAGCCCAGTTGGCCCCAAAGCCCGATACGACCTACACAGATGGCCCACAGATAGCTAGAAAGTCAAGCTCCAGATAGCCTTGGACAGAATCGAAACAAGAGTCCAGCTTACCTTTGTTCTTCGGCAGTCAGAGACACGATCAACATTAATGGAAGCCATGAGACTCACTTCCTTGTACTGTACTTCCTTCAAAAAATCTTCTTCCTTTCCTTCTGTCTCCTCTTATTGTTCTTCCTCTCCTTCTCTCACCAATTCCAGAAATTTGGTTTCCTTGCAAAGTATTTTCCCCGGTAATCCAATCTCCAGGGGAAATCGCAATCACTCAATGATGTCTTGCTCTAAATCGAATGATGGACTTCAAGACTCCTCTTTTCAGGTAATCCTCTGGTCCAAGCTCGTAATTCTCTTCTTCTATACTTTACTAATTTGAGGAGGAATCAAGGAGCAAGCATGAAAATTTTGTTTCGAACCGAAACGAATGAATCGAAATTCCAATGAAGGTGTTTTATATTTTACATGTTTTGCATTTGATGTATTTTAAGATATTTTGACTAATGTTTCGAGATGTTTTAAAAATAAATTCTCAATATTTTTTTCAAAACCTTTCCGATTATTAGGTGACCGAAAGAATGTATCAAAACAAAATTTTAATCCTTGCTAGGAATCTTTTTGCGTTTGTTATTTATGTTGCTATTCAGGGTGTCCGGTGGTGGTTGTGTCGGATCATTGTTTAGGATGAAGCTTGTTTATATGCATTAGCTTTGCCTATTATTCCTGGAATAAAATTCTTGAATGGTCTAATCATCAAAGATGCCTGGATGGGATCATATAGTATATATCCTCTTTGTACTTAGTTCAGCTTGAAATGGGTTTCATTTTAATATTGCTTTTACTCAAACAGCGCAACGTTAGAAGCCATTAATGGTGGTGAATGGCAAAGAGGCAATTTGAATCAGGATGTTTTAAACTTCTAAGTCTTTGGTTGTTGACACCCCTAAGGAACGCTGAAATGGAGTGGGTTGGGGATTAAACTGTTTTTAGTATTACACTGTCTCATTATGTAGCCTCGAAGATTTTTTTTTTTTTTTTCGCTTTTTGTTCTTTTGTGGATGTAGTGAGTGAACATTTGTGCTTTAGTATACTACATTTTGTGCTTACCAGTTATTCTGTCAATCCTGTGTGTATTTTGTTCGTGATTAGCTTGCTTGTGTTTGTCTTACTCTTCTAATACCTCATGTCGATGACTGAAATTTATTTGACTCTTCACACCTGTTGCAGGGAGGTGAATCATTCTTTAGAAGTGTGCTAGCGAGTATGGAAGCTGTTTATTTGAATAGGAACCCCACTGCTAAAGCCATCTTGGAACTAGTTCGTTCTGTTGATGAGGATCAAATATGCTATGATCATCTAGCATTTAGGACATTTGGGGTACGATTTATTCATACTTTTGCAGATTCATTTTGATAGGGACAATTCTGTCTCATTGCCAAGCTTTTTCTTAGAATTTGCTTTTATACTTATTTCCCTGTAAGAGAAGATTTGTTATGAAGCAGAAAATCTTACAGAACATTGCATGGATTTATATAATTTTTAATCTACATTTATTTTTCCTAGCAATTTTTTTTTTTAAATCTACACTTCTTTTTTATCTATGTTCTGGCTTTAGTTCATATCAGCTTTGTTGATATTTTGTTTCAGAAATTTAGTCCATATCCATTTTATCAGAATTTTGTTGAAGAAATTTAGTATGTCCTGTTGATCGTAGGTAAGTGGTCATGGGATTGATTCCACAGCAAAGTTTTTCCTGGATTTTGGTTATTCTCGACGAGAAGAGTTGAGATTTCCGGCGAAGAAGTTGAAAGCATTCTGGTATTCTCCGCCTCACGTTCCACTTTCTAATGGTGCAAGTGGTGTTAATGGGCCCCTGCCTAGAATTTTCATATCAGAACTTCTTGTGGATCAAATGAGTCCCCAGGCTCAGGTTTGTCTTAAAGTATTTTCTCGATTAGCTTATACCGTAGTTGTATACTTTTTTTTTTTTTGGATCGTGATAGCCCAGTAGTCTACAGTTGGTGAGAGCACATTTGATGATTTTGGCAAATAAAGGAATGAAATGATCTTAAAATCCTTTTCATTTTAAAATCTCTGTGACTTGAACTTGATGAACATAACATGAAGTCTGTTATTTGTGACGTATTCAGCTATGTTGAACCTGTGCTTTAGCATGGTCATGTTCTTCTTCCTTATTTATTTATTTTTTTTTTTTTGAGGGGGGGCATAAACCATAGTTTCAGTCAAATGATGCTTTGTGCCGATGTAGAACCTGCCCTTTTGCAAGGATGGTTGCTGTCAAAACTCTAAAGAAACTTTACTTTCTTTGTCAATCTGCTAGGCCTACACTCAAAATCTATATAATAAAATAGAAGTGTGTTTGAATTTTATCCCAGTTATATTTTTCCCCTCAAAACCATCACTAATCACTTACCTCACCCATAATCCGTTTGTCAGACTCAAAGTCAAATCGCATCACTTATTTCTATCATATGTTCTATCATATATTTAATCATTTAATATTTAATTAATTTATAGTTAATATATTTTGAAAAAAATTAATATAATGAGATCGATTTTTTAGATTCTCGAATTTTATATTTTATCGTGCCTTCAGGCACGGGTTATGACTATGTTACAATAAAGAAGCTCGTTGTGACGAAGTCTTAAGTTTGTAATTTTTTTTTTCTTTTGAAATTCTTCTTCTCCATTCTTTGACATCAATTTGATTTATTTCTTCATATTATCAGAAAAATGAAGGGTTCTTATTATCAGAGCTTGTGATAATGCCCCTGCTGCAAGTTTAATTCGGGCAAAAGCAATTGCTGCGTGTTTTTAACTTAAGATGGTAGTGGGTGCTCTTTTGACTAAGTTTTCCCCAAATGCCAAGTACTATTGACCTTTCAAAAATGTTTAGAAAAACTTGGTTCCTCCCTTTCCAATTGGATTGTGTCTGGATCCATCACTAAGAAGAAAAACCATCAAAGGGTCTTAATAAGTCAAACTTTAGGTAAAGAAAATTTGGTTTCATCCCTTATGGTAGCAAGTAACAACAATAATTTTTATGCCTAAATTTATGTGTGGTGACAGTGTGTGTCCTTTAATATGTTGTCCACCTTTTTAAGAACTAAGTCTCTGGTAGAATCTTATCAAAGACAATAGGACCTGTAAGTGACCTCTCTGGGAAGTAGAAAAAGAGGGGTGTTGGTCAGCAATATGCTTCCATATTTTATTAGAATAAGGAGGGCAAAAAGGAAAAAAAGAACAAGAAGAAGAGAAGACAAGGATACTTGTGAAGATAGATTTTTCACTGTTGTCCCATACTATCATTTAGCAGTATGCTTCTATATTTTATTAGAATAAGGTAATCTTATGCTTTGCCATAATGCCAATATAATGGTAAGAAAACAGAAAAATATGTTAATCATTGCGTTCCTCATTGCAGCCTGTTCTTTTCTGTACTTTTTTCTTGTATAGATCCTCATTTCTTGATTGATTGATGGCCATCATCTTTTCCTATCTACCAATGCGAGATTAATGACATTGTGCTTAAAGTTGTTGCTTCTAATATGCAGGAAATAATTAGAAAATATACTGAAATATCTGGTAATGGAAATAAGCATGCTGCGCTTGCAAGTGCACTGGGATCTTTGACATGGGAAAAGCCCTCACACTGTGAATTTCAAGAATTGGCTGGGTATATAATGTTCCGTTAGTTGTGCATCTGTGCCTTCATCAATCTTGATATAAGTGAACTCGCATATTTCCATTTGAAATGAAACAGATCATTATTCACACCTATTATTGCTATGTTTATTACAGAACTTTGTTGCAGGTTCTGTTTTGGGGTAATGCTTGTAAATAATCCATTTTAGAGGTCTTACAGTTTGATTTGTCCATTTCCAGGGAAAGTGAATATGCTGCCTGGACTCTTGTTAATGGATATGCATTAAATCATGTCACTATATCTATTCATCAGCTGAAATCTGACTTGAGGAATATCAACAGCCTCAATCAATTCATCGAGAAGAGTGGGTTCAAATTGAACTCTGAAGGGGGAGTTCTAAAGGGTTTGCAACCTCTAACTTCCTATTGCCTCCAATTTATTCTGTTGCCCCTTGATTCCGTCATACTAAAAACAGAGTTGCACTGTTAATGCATGTCTGCCGGCACTAATATATACAATTGGCTTGCCTATCCACGCCTTGTCCTCAACTGCTTCAGCAATCTTTAGGCAACTGAAAAAAAAGCAGAAACTGACGATGATGTTAGAGGATCCTGTAAATAAATCTTCACTGGCCATAGATGAAGACAAGGTCACATGATCAGTTTTCTCTATGTGTTCAGCCAGTTTCCCTCAAGTTATATGTTCAACGATCCACTTTGCATCTGATACTTACTGATTTAACTAATTATAACCAATTTCATGGGCAGAACTTGGACAGTCATATATGGTTGCATTTTGTCTGACAATAATCTTTTTTGTACTTTTTGGAAGATTTCTGAATAATACATCTTCTGTGCCTTCTGTCACAAACTTGTCATTTTATCATCTTTTTTGTCTCCAAATTGGGATGGTTGGGTTTAGTTTGATTGTCATCTGTTTTATGTGGATGATCAAGTATATTTTTGTTACAAACTCGTTCCCGAATTTAAATCCTTAGACATAATTTGTTTCTGAAGTCTGATTCTTTCAAGGATGGAGCAGAAGCCTTACAACTTTATTTCCTCCATTATCAGTGAGCCCTGATGGTCTTCTGTTGCAAAGTTCAACCGTGGCGGATTCTTTCTCTTTCCAGTTTTCTGATGGCGTCACAGAATCAGTCCCTTGTTCGTACATCGAGTTTGCTGAACGCCTCGTACTACCGCAATACAAAAATTTACCTGAGAAAGAGGTGAGCAACCCTTTATTTCCATGTAAGCAATGTGGCCCCATGAATAGTGCAAAATTCGGACCCGTGAATAGAGGAATTTAATTGGTTATATGTAAAATCCTTACAAACTTCAGTTATTGATGTTATGCCAGTGTAAGAGAAGGTTTCAACTGCTCCTGTTCTTCGGATTTTCACTTTGCATGCAAAATTTGCTGGAAACATTTTCTTTCTTTCAGATGCACTGCTCTAAACACTTTACTTTTTTAAAAAGCTTAATGTATTCCTTAAGAAGGATGATATGTTACTGGAGAAGTAAGTAGTTGCCTGTTTCTTTTCAAGGTGTTCAGTTGACACCTTTTTATTGTGTGATTGATCTCCTCATCTTGTCATCAACTTCTTTCTACCTCCACCTTGTCAATACGCATTCATATACCCCTTCAAACCCCCCCCCCCCTCCAAACACAACAGACAAAAATATACTCACTGCATTTGCACTCAGTTTATTGCGATATTATTCAATCCTAAACTGTTATTATTTGTCCATTAAGCAGCACACACCATGTGTCATCTTCCCGAATATGCAAATGCAAAAATCTTATTTTTCTATAAATTTTGTTACAAGAAAAGCATAAAACTTTCTTCACTGAGCCACAAAGACTACAAAAAGATAAAAGCTTAATACTATCCTTAATGTCTGCTTATTGTATCGGTAATTCCATTGTTTGTTGTAACCTATGTCGTATATTTGTCTGTGGTGAAAGAAGCTTCTTCTTTTTTTGCAATATATTTAGCTCATTTTGGCTATCATGTAAATAGAAATATTTGGGGTAAATAGAAATGCCATGAGACAAAAACAGACACAGATGATTGGGTATTTCAACTTATTATTATCATTAGCCATCGCAATGTTGCATGCAGTGATATATGTCAAAGGATTTTAATATAGCTATATTATATTTTCAGTAAATTAACTAGCCATAAAAGATTGAGTCTGTGTTCCAACACTAATTTTCGGTGGTTCTATTAAAATGCCAGTACTGTATCAGTAGTTATAAAGATACAGACGTGTTCAAAAACACGGTTTTTTTGGGTACATTTCAAAAACAGTGTTGACGATTGATAATTTATATGTTGATCACTAGTATAGAATTTAGACACAGTTCCCTTTTTAATGTTGAATTCAGTTGAAAACAGACAAAATCTCCATAAGCTACTGCTTATATTTTAATCGTCGTTGTTGGACTATTTATATTTTGTTGTTGCTTCTTTGTCCCTGCATGTATTCATCTGATATATTTTTACATACATGGTGTACTATTAATTTTACAACGTTGTTAATCTTCTTGCCCATTTACTAATAACTTGTTTTATCAACTAGTACAGGTTAAGGAATTCCATCGGAGAGACGGATTTGAGGTTGGAAATGCAGACAAGATATTTGAGAGCACATCCAAGGATCAATTAACCAGGAAAGCTGCATGAGAAACAGACCCATAAACTGTTGAAAACAGGAATTGCAGTTGGAATAAGTACTGGTTTGCTACTTATACCTAGATGATCCACAGGGAGTTGCCAAAGTTACTAAAATGAAAATGTGACACACTTAAAGAGGCTGATGAAATGTGTAGTTTGATTTTCGTGCTATGGTAACAAAATCAAATGTGTAGTTTGATTTTCGTGCTATGGTAACAAAATCAAGGCGCTTAGTGTGAAGCCTAAGGCTATCCAAACAGAGCACAGGTCTGTTGTTCGACATGCCAATTGCTTTAAAACACATTGTAAAATAAATGTATAAAGCTCATAGGATGTCACACACTATATAGCAGGCGATTTGAGTTTGGGTTACTGCATGCATTCAGCTGAGCGTAGCTGGCTGAGGCAATTGCTGTTGGTAATTCTTTTACAGGACCAGTTCACCCGACTCCTAGCCGAGCTCTTCTCCTGTATGCCATCCTCTTTACAAGCAGTATTCATAGCATTATCCCACCATTTCTAGGGGCTCTCTCATTTGTCACATCTAGGGGTGTAACTCAGGTGGGATGAGCGGGTTGAGAGGTTAACCCTAGCTCAATCTGAGGTATATAATCTTCATTCTTGAACCCTAATTCTAACCCGACTTCAATTTGAGTACTGCCAAAGTTGAATTCGAATGAACTTGGGTTAAAATTTAAGTTGAATTTGGGTTATTTAATTTGAGATAGTTTTGGGTTAGAGTTCGAGTTGAGCTTGTTAGAGTGAATTGTAAAGTGTGAATCCTAATTATAAATTATGTTGGTGAATCTATTAATTTATATATCTATTTTTAAATATGTTCGGATTGAGTCCAATTTATATATTCAAGTTAAACCTAATAACTTAAGATCTCAATTCGGACATTGTCCGAATTTAATTTAGATTGGTGTTTTTTAGTCTAGGTTTAACCCAAATATTAAAAGCTTAATTCAAGTCATATTTTTTTTGAGTTAAGTTCAAGTTAAATTTGAGGTTGAATTCAAGTTGGTCTGCCTAAATTACAACCCTTGTCACATCTCTATACCTGGCAGATACAAATTCTGCCCTAGCAACTTCCAAGTGATCATTGATAAGTTGCAGGTATGATGTTTCTTAGACTGCGGCTGGAGGGTACATCTTCTTCAACCTTACATATGGGCTTGATCACCTTAGAGGCATCATCTTCAAAAACAGCAAATCAATAGCCATGTCACAAGGACAAAAGAAACGGCCTCCTTTGCACCCGTAACTCTACCACCCCAGAGCTGTCATAACTTTCTCTGGACAATCCAGCAATAAATTCGTAGCATTCGTTCCTGATCACCATATTGCTACTTGGATATGTTTCTAAGTTTCTGGTCATGTCAATGCATTACTTGGGAGGTATGTATTCAGATCATATGCAAGTATAACATGCAGTCGCAATGAGTAAAAAAACTCATTGGAGGGAGGGACTGAGGGAGACAGTCTCCAAACATTTACTTCATAGACTTCAGCTCTCCTTACATTACATTCTCCCCGACTCGAAGGTACACTACTCTTAAAGACCACAACAAAAGGCAAATGTGTTCCTCTGTTTCTTTGCCCGGCAACATATAATTTTCATGGAAAAAAGGAAAAGAAATGAATTATATGAGGTATAAGAAACAGATAAATTATCAACCCAGTGCTATGGTTTACCATTAGGTTTTGGTGAATTGTGAAGGAACTGGTGGTGATATGGAGAGGCCTGAGAACCATTTGGAATTGAGAGGCTTCTCGGATGTTGCTGACCATTTCGGGTAAACATTCTGGCCTGGGTTCGAATCCCATTTCTAGCATTTGGGCTGGATCCAATGCAGTCAGCTTGCATGGTCTGGAAGTAATACGATGAGCTAGCCATGTCCTTGAGGCTCGGTAGAGGCTTTAAGGCTTCAACAACTTCACTCATGAGAGGCCTGGCTTTTGGATCCCGGCTAAGGCAGCGTGAAGCCAACTGTGCCGCTTTCTGGGCACCTTTTACCGAAAAATGACCTTCAAGACGTGGGTCTATCAGGCGATAGAACTTTCTTCTCTCTCCCAGATGTGTTCGTGCCCATTCCACAAGGTTATGTTCTCCATTAGGGCGGCTTTTGTCCATTGATCTTCTACCAGTCATCATCTCAAGCAGAACTACACCAAAACTGTAGACATCACTCTTTGATGTAAGGTGTCCTGACAAAAACATACCAGAATATGATCAGGATGAAAGAAAGTGTGAAGAGTCTTTATGTCACAGGCCATTATTAATTGTGTGCAAATACTGAAACTGCTATTGTCATAATCTTATTCACAGTTCAACCATCAAAGAAATTAGATAGATTACTAAATGCAAAAGATCTTTTTGGTTACATAAATGGAAAACTACAGCGCAATATTTTATCAATAATTGTATAGCAGAAGAATTGAATGTATCAATCAATGTTCCAAAAATGAAGACAACTAAAAACCTAATCACAAAACAAAAACATAATAGGTAAAAGCAAGGTTAATAGTGCAGAGTACTAGTGTTTCAATCATCCATGGTACAACACGAAAAATCGAATATCTTTGTAGGCAGAGAGAGCATGACCCAGAGTAAGACAAGCAACAAAGCATCTATCAGACGTTTAACTCAACTAATAGCTGGTCTCATGTTAGTGCAAGTGGTTTGGCAATAGGTGAACGAAGGCAGTAAGTCTGATTTACCCATCCAATGAGGGCGGGCTGGGATTTTGATCAATGTCAATGCTCAGTAACATTTACCTGTCATTACATATTCTGGGGCAGCATAACCATAGGTTCCCATCACACGTGTAGAGACATGAGTCTTGTCTCCCTCAGGACCATCTTTGGCAAGTCCGAAATCAGATAGCTTGGCATTGTAATCCTGGAATACCGTGTTGTTAAAAGATGAAGTATACAAGGGGAAAAACATAATATCCCGAGGTACTGTTACATACTGCATCTAATAAAATGTTGGAGGTTTTGAAATCCCGATATATCACTGGCCTTTCTGCCTCCTCGTGAAGAAAAGCGAGACCCTTTGCAGCACCAAGAGCAATTTTCATCCTGATGGACCATGGTAGAGGTAGAGACCCTGGAAAATATTGCAATATAAGATAAAATTACAAATGATACTGTGAAGGCATCGTCAATATCTGTGAAGCCATGGAAGAGGTAGTACTCTGCAACACCAATAAAACAGTTACATAGAACAAAGTCATACGTAGTCAATTTCCAACAGCATAGAGGACAATATATCATATTAGACACTTTTGCCATGCTATTGCTAAATTGCCAACACAACATGAAAAAATTAAAGAATTAAAGCACACATCCCAGTTGTCGTAGGAGGGAAAACTTCTGGTTACATCTGTGGAACACTTTGCCCCCCTTTTGAAATATTTTATTGGGGGTGGGTTATATTCGTTATTTTTGGGATAGAAAGACTTGAAAGGCCCTATCTCACTGTTGTTCCACCAATGTATGGGAGGGTTAGATCGAGTGTATTATCAGAATTACCTTGCATGAAACTATGCACCTAATTACGACCCAAAGCAATGGGCATAAAAGAGAGGAAAGGAAGTGGAAAAGGAAAAAAAAACAAGGTCAAATAGTTATGATTGGCACGATTTTCTCCATAACCTCAGTGTTCCATTCTGTTAAAACCTTAGGATGCATTTGTCTAATTCTTTGTGAACCGTTCCCATTTTTCAGTATGTTCCCGTAAACCAGCCAACCCTCATAGCTTCCTGGAGAACATATACATATGTATCAGGTGTAGTATTCTTTCATGACTTTTATGTTGGACATGATCACTTTTTAGTAGAAGCATGTTTCTGTCAAGGGAAACCGCATGCGGCACCTAAGACACATCAAGTGCACGAAAATAACGGAACCTTCAGGTCTACAATTTACAATCTAGTCATTACCTACAATTTTAAATAAAGAGAACCATTTCAAGCACAACAAAATTATCACCAGCTGACTTTCCACAAAATGGTCGTGAACTTCAACTCAACAGGATAATTCCTCAAATCCTGTATAAATAGATGTTGAAATGGAATGCACCAAAGAAATATACTGTCACTTAGACATAGAATCATAACTAGGTCTTGAAATTTTTGGTGCAGTGCAGGCTATAAGCCGACCTACAAGTAAAGGATATAATTTGTTTCCTTTCAATATGTTAAACTTCTACATATTGAACGAACATCACGGGCCAGAAACTCAACAAGGGAATATTGGAAAAGGGAGCTAATATATGAAACATCGGATACATACTCCTAAAGAGGTGGCTCTCCAAGCTTCCGCGAGGCATAAACTCATATGCTAGCAGCCTTTGATCATCTTCGATGCAATAGCCAATCAATTTAACCAAATTAGGGTGAATGAGATCTCCAAGAAAGCTCACTTCAGCCTGCCAAATGAGTCGATTCTTGAGAATGGCAAGGATAAAATGGGGACAAAGCATAATTAAAACAGAGCAAGAAGAAGGAGAAACTGGTAATGATTGAATCAATTAGGAAAGCATCAAACCAGCCATTCTTTGTGACCCTGAAGCCCATCATGATTCAGGGTTTTCACAGCTACAGTAAGTCCTGTGCCAGGTTTCACCGGTGCAGTCCCATTTTCTTCAATCCACCCCTTGAAAACACAGCCAAATCCCCCTTCACCAAGAAGACTCTCCGGCCTAAAATTTCTCGTAGCAAACTTAAGATCATTAAATGTGAACTTCCGAAGCCGAGAAGCAACTTTAAGTTCCTCATCAAGTTTTGAAGGGGAAGAATTACTCTCTGTGTTACTTGTGGCACTTGATGAGACAACAGGAGCAACCGGTTGGTCTTTGCTGGTATCATTTATAGATTTATTTTCTGCTGGCAAACAAAAGGAAGCAACATAAAAAAAAGCCTAGATAAGAGCTATCACATTATGATAAATTAAATTAAGTGGGCTTTAGCAATCACTTAAGCCCACATTCGGTGTGCCACAATGTTAACATGTCTAAACAAATTCAAAGGGGTTACCAAAATAAATGGATCCAAGGTTTAGTTCCAGGAAAAAAAGCATAAAGAAGCCATGGTGTTCGTACAACAAAATGGGAGGTGTCTGATATGAACAAAAGAATCAAACAAAATATCCATTAATAACGGTTCACCACAGCAAAATAAAACAATAATATGACAGGTCTTATTCAGAACAAAAAGTATGTCGAAACCATCATTGAAATTTTCTTGTCTGAGTGTAGAACATCACATTCACAAGTGCCATTGCTAACATCGAAGTGGCAAGCTAACTCGACACCCCATGATAAACGCAAAGGTCTAACCGATAACTTTCTACTGTGAAGTTAACCACTCAACCTTAAGTGGGGACATCTTTCTTTGGGTGCTTGATTGGGAGCCCAGCATAAGGGTCTTTTTTCCTTTTTGGGAAGTCCCAGTAGTTTGGTAGACTACATCAATATATCTTACGAAGAATGCCCAAAATTTGTGTTTGCAAATTATGTTCATACACATGGAGGGAAAAGAAGCAAACAACTACCAATATATTGTTCTCCAATGTTTATGAACCATACGATACTATTCATTCAACTACATAATATACAAATTGAAGAATCAATGATGCTAAAGCGAACCATAAAGATGCAAGAAGAATGAAGGGAAAGAATGATCTACTTTAGAAATCTAAACAACATGTTTTAAATCAAGCACGATTGCAGACGAAGATTATATTCAAATTTTTGCAAGATACTTAGGTTATTCGTGATATTTGTTTTCTCGAATCCCAAAAAAAGTGATTCATTACAGCCTAGGGTTTTCAACATGTTTTTAACACACTTTGGATTCAAAAGCATTGGAATAGTGTTGTCCACAGGTTTTGCGAAGCAGAATATAATGTCGTCGTCGTGAATCTCTTCAATCTTCAAAGTCTCCAAAAAAAAAATGGGATTGACTCGAGTTGCAGTACAGACTAAAAGAAACAAAATCTGTTCTAAGTTTGACATTATTTGTATCCTTTTTCAAACCCGTTTGCATAACAAAATCTCAGAAATTAGCAAAGCATTTTAGACTGCCCTTAACACTATATAGCCTTTTTATTGGCACAATATTCCTTCACATAAATTCTTTTATTAACATATTTGCTACAGCAATCTACCAACATTTCAGGCCATCTTGGACAACAAATCAAGAAGCAATGCTTTCTTCATCAGATTGACAGTTGCATGCCCGAGCTAATAACACATCTTATATATACAGGCACGCACACATAGCAGTCATACACATAGTGATTTCTGTTTTAAAAAAAAAAGAAGCAAATTAGACCTGACTGAGGTCACAGAAAAATAGCAATTCCTAATTGTATCAACAGAAGCAAGTAACTGAAGGATTACCACAGTGAGTGCTGATTCCACTGATAGAGCTATCAACTTTAGATCTTGAATAAATGCAGCTGCCAATAAACCTAAACTTAATCCAACACCCAGTCTCCTCCACATCAATTCCTTTCTTCTTCTTCTTCTTGCTACCCTTTGATTTTCCCACATCCCAAGACTCCCCTTTTACACCGTCACCACCTACTACCATCTTCCGAAACCCTAAACTCAGACAAAGAAATCATCAAAACCCCAAAGCTCGAATTTCACCAAACACCCTTTGCTTCCTCCCCCCCTTCCAAACTCCATTAGTCCTTCACTTTCACATTTTTCCCTCAAAAAACCACCAAAAATCATCAAAATAACCCAAACCCGGCTCATAAAATTAGTCAAAGATAACAATCAAAACTAAAAAAACACTGCAACACCCCTTACATAGCCAAAGAGCAAAGAAATTCACTCAATAGTCTTCCACTCCTAATACCAATCCCTCAAATACCCACCAGAATTAGATGAAATAACTTAGCCCCAACTCAAAAAAGAAAAAGCCCAAAAAAGATCACATTTAAGGGCTGTAAAATAGCTAACTGGTTCAGATCACATGCCTGACCTTCAAAGCAAGCTGAAGATGAACTTTGCCCAAGCACAGTGCAAGCTGTATCAGATAATCTCAGTCCAAAAGTAACCAGAAATGTCCACTCCCGAAAGATGTTGAAATGTCCAAAAAATTTCAAATAAGCTGACTAGTTCCAAGTATAAATCAATTGCATTAGTGTGTACGCCATCGAATTCTAAATGTCAAAAGGATGTAGAAATTATAAGTACACTGTGAATCATGGGTTCTCACTTTTTTAGCAGAATCGAGGACTACAAAAGCAAATCGGCGCTGCCCGAAGAAGTTGGGCAGAGAGTTTTAATCTAATCTGATTACTCCGATACTAACCAACACTTTGGTGCCAAAAAAAAAAAAAACCAATACTTTGACTAATTTTTTTTGAATATGTTAAATTATATTTATGAATTATATTAATTATAAGATTCAATTACTATTCCCAATGTCACATTATTGATTCTACTCCTTCCTATCATTTTTTATTGGGATTACCTTAGCATCAAACTTTGTTCTTTTACCTTTCACAAATATTTTTAATATTATTTTAGTCTTTTAAAATTAGAGAAGAACCTATACACGCAGATTATATGAAACAAGGTCGTTCAGACTTTTTTTTGTATGATGTGCATTATTATCATTTTTTTCTCTATTATAAAGTTACGTAACATAAATTTATCGATTAACGAATCAAATCTTGACTCGTTCAACGGACCAATTTTAAAAATTAAAAGGAGAGACAATTAGTAAGAGGTCTCCCCTATTAATATACATAATAAAATTTACAAATTATATGGTGAAATTGAAGTAAAATTTCAAGTTTTTTTGGGTATGATTGGATATTTAAAACAGATTTATGAATTTTATCAGATTTAGCTATGTACTATAAAATTAAAAATTCATCAAATAATTAAATTAAATTCGAATATAAACCAGATAAAAACTGTACAAATTCGATCCTACAAGATTTTTACACATTGGAATTTGGAACCACAATGGAAAGCATAAAGAAAGAGAAGTGGGAAATCGGGCAATTCGGGCAAGAGTGAGGAGGAGAGGTGGAGGGACCCACGTGTATGGTGACGTGTCAAGCATTGGTTCGTTTTTTCTATTCAAAATGGTATATACCAATATGATCAAAAAAAATGGTATATACCAAACCCCCCACTTTCTTTTTCTAGCCAAGCCACATGACATAAGCATTGAAGTTTTGAAATATTGCATAGCCTCCCCAAAAATTGGGACTAATTAAATATTAATAATTAAAGGGTGCTTGGAAATAGTTTTTTCTAATTTTTATTTTTCACATATTAACGTAAAAAATTTCTTATCACATCTTAATCCGATGTAGGAAGAAAATTACTAAACAATAACCACCAAACTTACAAAAGAAAAAAAAATAGCATGATTCCAATTCCTTGAACTTGAATGAACCCAATTTAATTGTGCCATTAGAAGACTTGGGTGATGAGAGAGAGAGGGGGGACAAGGAGAAGTTGTGAGGGACTCGGGGCAGGTCCTACCACTAGCTCAATAAAGCTTGGATTTTAGCTCCCACTTTAAAGAAAATATCATAAATTTTAGGTGTCTAATAATAGTTTAAATAAAAATTTTAAATTTATAAAAACTAGACACACAAAAAGTTTAAATATATCCAAACAAAAAAAATTTAGCCCGTGTTACATTGAATTGAATACATCTATTAATTTAGCGCATAAAATTTTAAAAATCCTAAAATTCAATTTTTTAAAAACTCAAAAAAAAATTAAATTCAAATTTACCGTCATAATTTTTCAATCATTCTTTGTCGTCTCTTTTTCTCTTACTATCAAGTTCTACTGTAATTACAAAAACTTGAATATAAAAAATTAATTAATATTTTTATATTTAAAAAAATAAAAATTTTATTTATTTTAAATTTATTACTAATATTAAAATAAAACTCATTTATTGTTTACGCTTTAAGCCCAAAAGTATCTTGGCCCACACCCGGAGGGAATAAGTCGAATTTCTAGTTGTGAGTGGGTTGTTGGTTAGTAAGGCATACATCAAAGACCAATGTTGGTGAAACTTTACATTTTTGTAATAGATAATTGCTAACAATTTTGTCGATGAATCAAATTTTTAATTTGAATATAACACGAGTTCAAGTCTATATTCATTGGGACGGATATGCACTTATTTCTTGATTGACTATTTAAAGTTAAATACAACTCGACTTAATTAACTCTTGTTTCAATATTTTTGTAATCCAAATTTAAATACACAATTTATTATTTCACGCTATACCTTAACAAATTAATATATGATTCAATTATGATCCGACTTGCCATATAAAAATTTTATAAGCATATGATAAAAGTAAATGTTTCTTTGATGAAACCGAGTTATTTGAGCCGTATTGGATTTTTAAGCTTTAGCATATTCTAATATGGGTTATAAAAATCAATTTCCGTTAGATTTAAAGATCATATTCAAATAAGTTTTCAAATCGAATTTGAAAGTTTGTGGGAACGAAAATTCAATTTGAATCCCACTGAAACCCTAGTTCACTGGTTTGGAATCTCAATAGAGATTCTGCTTTTATAAAAAGAAGAGTTATATATATGACCAAAAGATTAAGAGCAAAGCTTGCGTGTAAGATAAAAATACAAATAAAGTAGTTTTCTAAAGGTGGTGTTGTTGTTGCTTCTCTTTTAGTGAAGGGATCCAAGACTTGGTTCATTTTAATTCAGTCTATGATTAACAATCAGTCTTTTAGGAATAAAGACCCCACTTATATTGAAAAAATAAAAATTAAAGATTCCACCTAAAAGAATAAAGCCAGTTAAGCTCCTGCTCGAATTCTTTCCATGGGACCCCATCATTCATTTTTTTATTTTTTTTTAAACAGTCAGAGGTGTTTAAATTAACTTATGCACATCTTAACTAATATCTTTCTTGATCCAATCAAATACAAGAAATCCACACCGAGACTTATTTATTCATTAGGGATAAATCCATCATAGTATAACCTTAAAAAATTGTCAAAATTCAAATTCAAAACATTTGAACATTTGAGTTTACAGCTCCTCCATGTTACATACATACCATGCTGCGAAAAGAAGTCAAAAGGCCAAAAAAAACTTGTCTGCTCAATCGATATAACTGTCAATAGATCAAATTTTAGTTTGAATTTATATGAAATTAATTTAGTGATTGTTGAAATTTGAATCCACTATATCATTATATTAGCGATCCTCCATGACTAAAGTCACTATACAATGAGCTATAATACTATACTTGTATTAGAGTCTGTATATAATGTGTGTACACGTACAATTGTGTGTTGTATGTGTTGGGTTTGTAAAATTTGAGGGAAAAAGCGTGTGTTGAGTGCGTAAAATTTGGGAAAAAAATATATTCTCATAATTTCAAAAACCTAACTGATTTATCGTATAAATATTCGACATAAATTCAATTAAAGAGAGATTCAAAGTACTGAGAATATATGACCTGACTGCTGCTAAGAATAACAGAGACTACTACTAGGAGTGTTCACTCTACCCAACGGGTAGAAAATATGCTCTTCCGTCTTCCTACCCGATACTTTGCGGAAGAGTTTTTTCTTGGCCTACCCTACTCGACAGTTGTGGTATTCCTACCCAACTTCCTACCCGATTAATCGGGTAAGAAGTCGGGTAAACATTTTTGTAACAATTAATTTTTAGATCATTTTAACAATTTAATTAAATAACATGCACCAATTTAACAACACAATAAATCAATTAACACTAAAATCTAAAACAACTACAACAAGAATTATAATAAAACACAAGAAAATATAAACATCATTCCACCATAATTGTTATACAAATACAATAACAATTAATTTAAGTTTAAATTTTAAACCATATGAAATACATTAAAATCATAATTGCTCCGTTGTGGTAGTTCACCACAAATTATGTAACCAATCTGTTACTGTAGATGAAGGTTTATGATTAGACCTTCCAAGCCATACCACACCACAAAGAGAGAGAGAGAGAGAGAGAGAGAGAGAACCTGGGTGGAAAGTCTGGAACGATGAAGGAGGAGCAGTGGAGTGACCGAGTGAAGTGCTCTTGGGACTCGGTAGATTAGGGTTTTTTTACTATATATATATATATATTTTTTTTTTTTAAAAAAAATTATTGCGGGTAGGGTAGGAATGCAGAAATAGATGTCTACTCTGCATTCCTAACCGATTTTTGTGGCTAGCCGTTCAATAGGGTAGGGTAGGATCGGGTCGGGTAGGGTAGGAACTTGCGGCCGGTCGAAAATTTGAACGCCCCTAACTACTACACAGTGGGTTGGTTGGACAAGTTTCCAAAGCAAGACAACCTATGCAGTTCTACAAAAGACATATCACAGGCTGTATGAAGGTCACACTGGGACAGAACTATGCAAAAGTTAGCTGTTTAAATTAACTAGGCAGGCACTAAAGTCGTACGAACACAGTGTGCAAAAGGATCCAGCCTTTAACGGGATTGAATAGAGATAAACAATCTTACCATCAACGAGAAGAAATAGAGGGTGGTTCTATTGGAAAAATGCAGACCTTCAACCAGAAACTCTTTAACATTTATCAACTGATAAGTCAAACACAGGTTGAGCCAACACATGATTTTAAGCAGAAACTGGCATAATAAAGTCAAGGATATGCAAATTGATAGAACACTAGAGCTATTTGTGCACATCCAATTACAAACTCACTACGAAAATCCAGAGAATGAAATGATTTATCTGGCATATATGGTGAGGCTGACCACTCGAATAGATCAATAACAACCATGATGCATTTTTCTGCTTTTCATTCTGAATCTATACAGAGATTATGAATTCAATACAATGGGGTAATCTACAGAGGTATGAATTCAAACTCTTCCAAACCGAAGCATATATCACAAATGCTATTATTAGATCAGGATTTGTACAACCCATATAAGGTTACATTTCAAATCAATTGACACCAAAATTCCAGAGAGAGAGAAAGAGAGACCTCGGTTCACATGTCTGAAAAGTATCTCTCCAGGCCCAAGAAGAGAATTCAAGGAAACCAAACTTGGAAAAATGCTATACAATCCCTGTGGCTATGCTGGAAGTTGCATTTATCTTCAGAGAGTGCTCTGGAGTATAGGCAAGACCTGAAAGTATTTCTAAATTATAATGTACATTTCTAGATGAGGTCTCAGCATATAAAACTTATAACCGACCTTCAAGCAAAACGCAATAATGGTTTCTAGCAAACAAATAGAGAAACGCCATTGCAGATCAAACAACTCCTTGGGCACATGTGCCATGCATGAAATGTCTTACGTTATCTATCTGATCTGCAGAATTTTTACCAGTTAATAAAAAAGTATTATTGTTTTATAACTTTTTTAAGGCTCATATTATTGTTTTTCCTAGAAATTGGATTTAAGATTTGCAATATGAGACCTTTCTAATAACCAAATGATAGTTGTTGTAACCATCCAAGTAATCTTTCTCAGCCCATAAGAAAATAGCTAAAGCTACTATCAGTCTAAGTGACCACATTGTATCAATGCCACCATATAATCATGCAACTGTGGACCCCATTCACCACACAGACTGTATCATCAGCATATACCGATCTTTCTACAATCTCTCTACCAGGGTTAAGGGTACATTTTCTCATTAAAAAAAAAAAAACAACTCCCACCCCCAACATGGAAGCAAAATATAGAAAAGGAAAATGCTTCTTCAATGGGTTAAGATTTAAGATAAAGTCATCTGGAAAACAATAGAATGTACAGGAAACAACAGATCAATCTATATCTATATCTATACTACTTATAAATGTCAGCATTTCTGAAAAACTTTTGATTTCTTATTGTATCCCTAATTACTATAATAAAGTAAAGTATACCTACCTATATACTTTCATCTAATTTTTGTTTTTTACTCTTATTTGACTTTCAACTTATTTTGGACTACTTTATAAAGATTACTAAATTCTTTTGAACATTTATTAGTAGTTCAGTTACATACAATCTTTTATATCTATATGAATAAGTAAATTCTTGTACATGTTAAATTATTATACACATGTAATTATCAGATTGACTTCCACAGTCAAATATGTTATATTTTATTTTTTAGTATGCAATAATATAATAATATTATAAACGATCTAATCCATCTATTTAACAAAACAAAAATTAATAGTTTTATAACATAATTAGTTGTGCAAATGACTAAAACAAATGACAGATTAACTACTCAAAAACAAAAAAAAATAAGTACTCAAAGACTTATAAAATAAACTAATAATTAAAATACATATTAATTAGTCGATATCAAATTTATTATTTAATTTAATTACACATATAATTCACTTTTTTTAGAAAAACGATTATTTAAATTTATTTACATGCAACGCACGTCGTGCATTGCTAGTTAACAAAAATGAGCATATCAATACCTTTCTCTTGAACATCAATCTGTAAAGAATCAAGTGTAACTATGCCATCAGTCAAAGGCAGCAGCTCGAGCTTGATGGTAGCAGTAGATTGTGAAGGAACGCGTCTGATGCACCCAAAAAAAAACTGTTATCAAGTGTATATATCTCAAAGTCAAAGCCCAGAAATAAGGAGAGGAAGAAGACAGTGATGGATTACCCTAATGGAACTCTACTTTGCATCCATAAGTGCGTACAACCCAAATCACCACCTGGAAGGACATCAGAAACAGGAATGGATTGCCCATTTAAAGAAACAGATCGAGGACCACGTTCCCCAGTCTGTCCTTTGTTCTCTGATAGAAGAGAGGTTGAGCTTAACTTCTGCACTGCAGCAATTTGTCTTTCACCGCTCACTCTCCCTGTACACTCAGAAGAATCAACCAACGGGCTCATTGGTGATGAGGGTGAAGAACTCAAGGAAACCACTGAAGGAGGAGAAGTAAATGAAGCCGGAGCAAGCACGGTTAACGTAAGATCTTCAGATGACAAGTTGGAAGCTTGAAGAGTTAACACCTGGCAATTTGAACCACTTAAGATCATAGCTTATGAATTTCAAGTTACAACCAAATCGTTGCTCAGACTCATAAGACACCTGAACGGGCAGCTGCGGAACTCTTCCATTCGAGCCTAGAGTTTGGCTTGACATCTCGGATGCAACAGAGATCATAAGATCTCTTGAGATGCGTGGTTGCCAGCTTGTTGTCTGCTTGAAAAACAACCTGGATTCTACATTGACCACAGGATAAATACAGTAAGATCACACTGCTGACTTACTCCGTTATTATCTGTAAGTAAAAAATTTAGTGTAAATACCAGTATAGTTGCACCGACATGATACTACAACTGCATACTGATCAGCCGGTGAAACACCTTGCTTCCCTCCAATGTTGGAGGGATGCAAACTTGATGTTACACTTCCAGCCTGGACATGTGATGACTGTGAACTACTTTCACCATGACTCTTGGGACTCTTCCACATTGAAGTTGCTGGTTTGAGAATAAATGAGTGTTCTTCACCTTTCCTGACAAGGGTACATTTGAAATAACTCGTTGAGAACAAGCAGCAATGGTGAATCCAAGCCATTCTTTCCATTACTAAAGAACGTGAAGAATTTTTGCTCCACCCACTTCAATGAGCACATATATGGACTCGTGTGATTGTTCAGCCTTAGGCAAGAAGATTTACAATAGTTTGCATCCTGCTTTATAGGTGAGTCAGGTGACAAACAACATCACATGGACACACAGAATGGGGAATGAGATATCTGTTTGCCTCTTAAGAGCAGTCCACAACTTACTCAAGAATGTTAATGTAGTGAGAAATTCAAGGGAGATAAAGATGCAAATAAATGTGAAATTTAATAAATTAAAACCAGGAAAAAATAAAAAATGTTTCACATATAACCGTAAGTTTCAATGCACATAGTATGTTACACACCTGATTTATATTTAAATTGACATCCATATGGCTATTCTTTCACCGAACATGACATGCAAAACATGGTAAATAGTTTTCATTAGATTGTCTTCTTCATGCATAGATTAAACCGAGTAACATGAAAAGAACTCAAAACTGAAACTGGTAAGACTGCTTGCGGCCAATATGGTAGGAATGTAGATATGGTAAGCTTCTCTCCATCTTTCTGGATAACTTCATAGATTTTTTGTCCATAATTTGTAACATGACTTCGAACACAAACTTCCCTCATAAAAAGATAAGGTTTATTGTCTCAGTTAATAACTTTTCAAAATTGCCCAATGTAAAATCAATGCAATATTAAAAAAAAAATGTTACTTTATGCAGTCCCAGGATTCAAATAAGGAAACAAATACCAAAGCATATTTCCCTCAGTCAGCTATTTCCATTTCTCCTAATTGAATGCCTGACAGAGTTTCAGCAGAGCTTCAAGAAGAGGGAGCAGGAAGGGTTCTCTGAAAGATGGTCAATGAAAGTCTGACAAGAAACTTTGCCAAGGCCTTCATACATGGCATCATTCTTCAGCATCAACCAACATACTTTATGTCATTCAAAAGAGTAACTTTTACCATAAAACAACCCATGAAGCTCATTAAGTGTTTCAGGTCTTTATGTAAAATGAGGAACAGTTACAAGAAAATAGTTTCTTGTTAGCCTTTTTTTTTGTCACCCTTTCTCTCCAAATCTTCATTTACAGTTTCCTCCTCTTTTAATATTACTTTCATTCAAAGACTTCATCAACTCCCTTCCAAGCCATTTTGAGGGAAGCTTCAAATTTATCTTGCATATGAGTACAATTAAAATTTGATTCATAGGGTTTAAATGTTCAAATGGATGCAAGAATTCTTAGAGAGATAAAGTTTTAGAAAATGAAAACATCAAAAGGAAATTAGAGAGTAAAGGATGTTCTATGTCTTCTTTTTATCTGATGTATATACCAAATAGACTTAACGTGCTTCATCACTGGTCCTATGATAATGGTGGAAAAACATTATACTTTTTTGTCATTATGGGAAACATTCTTCATGATCATCATGTATGAGTATGACCATAACTGCTGCCACAGGAGTATAATTTTCAAATGAGATTCTATGGCAGAGTTTATAGGAAGACTTTTCTCTCAGCCTTGCAAGGACGCCAAGGAAAACTCTCTCTGGGCTCTCTTTTCCTCCAGAAAGAGGATACAATCTTCCACCTCTTGAGATATGATCTGACCATTACCAAAACAATGTGGGATACTGTACTTTATGTTTCCTTTGTTTAAACAATGTGAAAAACAATATCATGTCAAGTACTGAGATAATCAACAAAATCACTTTATTTCAATGGTCAAGTTTGAAGCATCATCCCGACCTCGTTATATCCTCCTATCTCAGCATATTTTTCACCCTCTTTCTTCTCGACTTCCAATATTATTGCCCTGGTTTCATATGTCCAAGACACCTTTTAAGTCCTTACCTTCTCTTATAAATAACGGTAAGTATGAGACAATTAGACAACAATAGGCCAAGACTTAGGAATAGTGATGGGGGCTGGTGTGTATTTCCAAGGGTTCTGAGGAGGCATGGTAAGAGAGATATGTGTTCAGGTATAATGAAGAGGGATGGTAATGAGACCTGGTGCAGGCCTTGGTTGATGGCTGACACAGACTTGAATGTTCCATCAGAAAGGATTTAAGCAAGGGTTTACACAGTTGAATTGACAAATCATTTGTGAATGCATAATCTAATCCAATCATCATGACTTAGAGAGACTTAAGATTACCATTTGGAACTTTATACTAGTAATTGATTGATATGATGGCCTTCTGAAATATTATTGCTTGAAATGTCCAAACAATACAAATAACGAAATAACGGGTGTAGTAGGTGGGGTTCAAGTTCAAGTGATTTATAATGGACTGGCTTTGGATTTGAACGTCTAAGTCATCTGATAGACCAGAAGTGTTAGAATTGAGCTTTGCACATTGGCATGCATATCCGCCCAGACACATGGCCAGTCCTTAAAGCATTATCTGCCGATTATGAAGTCTTTCCTTATCAATCACAAATTTGGTACTGATCATTTCCCAATCTAACTCGACCAACTCCGACCATTTTGCATGGCCTACACTAACAATGCAATGGCTTCTAAAGTACCCAAAGCATAAACCCACTGACATGATAAACATGTATATTGGCATAGCAGGTATAAATGTTATCAGACAGTCATATAAGTAAATTAAGACACCTTGGGCAGAAGACGACCTGAGGGCTAAATTTGGCAAACTGTGGTCACTTCCAGCTTCAATACAGGCTATAGGCAATGCTAGAGGTGGCCCACCTTTTGAAGCCTCCTCAAACACCATTGTTATGGCATCTAAATACACCACTATGTCGGGTATATGTGAGGGAGCAACATTCTGCAACATGACATATTAACTATTTAGTATAAATGATATAGATAATATGCACGTACTACGAATACAGCTTATGCTGAAATATATTTAATTCTGGAAGAAGCATGACCTACACCTTTATCTGAACACAAATAAGGTCATCTGTATTGCAGTTAGCAGGAAACGAATGGATTTCTACAGGTTGAATGATTTCAATTTTCCTCCTCCACCTTCTTCCTGGTATGTAAATACCTTCCAATCCACAGCGAACAGAAAATCTCCCTGGTTCCAATGGTACACCACGAAAAGATAAAAGCCCTTCATTCCTGCTTTTCTCACTCTTCACAAACTTCTGAGGTGAGACTCGAAGCTTATCTTCTGGGTCAAAGTTTGGTCTAGAATTGGGGGTTGTAACAGATGTAAGTGGCGCAGTATTTGGTGGAAGCGAGGACATGGAATAACTTCTAAAGTGGCCAAAAGAAAAAATCTGAGACCCAGATGGACCAGCAATGTTGGACCTTGTTGATGTACTACGAGTGCCTGAACTGGAACTCACTGGAGGAGGAGATAAAGAGCGAGCTGAAGGGGGAACAGAATTATCCAAAGGAAGCAACCACTTCAATAGTTCTCCACAAGGGTCTTGATTTGCACAGACTAAACTTTCCTGGTTCTCAGAAGCCAAATTTCTCTCCTGATATTTCTCAAATTGAAGAATTTCCAGGACAGGATCAGTCACAAATTCAACACCAACATTCACCTGCAAAAGCACCTGCATCTTCCAAACAAGAAGATGGAATGCGAGTTAGTAGCAGTCCGGAGCATATGGACAACCAGCTAAGACTGAAAGAAATTAACACAACCAGGACATAACCAACATATTTGGCCAAATAATAATCCACATATCAAATTTCTGTCCGGGGAACCTGAGAAGTAGTATAACACTTCACAAACTCGCCTAAGTGGGGTATCTACGAGACTAGGTTCAGACCTAACATTTCAGAGGTGCATGACCGCAATAGGCAGCCAAGGCCCCTACATTTTACTAAGCCATGACGCCTATCAAGAGCAGGATGCAGGAACATATGCATCAACTATGAAATGTGAGATTCATGTACAAGTTGGGACCAACGCGTGCATGCCTTAAAATGAAAAATCCCTCAGCCCAATTTCAGAGCCCTGTGCAGTTACATTTCCCATCCATGGAATATTTTCCATTAGAGGATATCGATGCATGCACCATTCCATTCTTATAAGGACAGCATATGTAAAACAATCATAACAATGTCTTGGGAGTTTTTCTGAAACATACCACTACATCTCCATTTGAAAGAGAGCAACATTTTACAGCGTTTCTTGCTACACCACTGGAGGCACTGGCATCAAAACTTCCACTATCAACGGTCGCACTTAGAAGGGCCTTCTTCTTTGCAGTCTCTGTGCCATCTGCAGTGAACTTTTCTCCATCCACCTCAGAATGTTCTGGATGTGCTTTCGAAGCCCTTCTTTTTGACCAAAGCGGCTCATCTGCTTCCGCAATTCGGACAAAAAAATGTGAATTCTTGAATCTCTGCAACAATGTTTCAGACTGTCTCATGTGATCTTCCTTTCTAAGAAGAGATTCACCAGCAAAAACATCTTTTTCTGGATTAGTCTTGCCTTTCGACAGATTTTTATCACTATGATCAATATCTTCACCTTCAACAGTCATGTCCTCTCTTTGAGGCACCTGATTAATTTCGTTTTCAATGTTTCCATTGTCTTTCTTTGTGTTTTGTCCAATCCCATTTTTGCTCATCACTGCAGCAACTTTAAATGGTGTGATGATTTCGATTTCCTGCTTATATGCTGACAAGCATGCCAGGATGTGAACTTGTTCACCTGGGTAGAAAAAAGTACTCAGAGATCATATAAGAACAAAGCCTCACTGAACAGAAATCTACTGAAGCATGTAAAAGCTGAAAATATAATGAAATTCAATAGAGAACGGCTACCTGGAAAAACAAAGAACCGGTCTACATCGCGAAAAGAAAGTATATTGGGTGCCTCAGTCCAGTCATCAGGAAGTTCCTCTAGAAAAGCACATCAAAGAACAAAATTTGAAATTTGTCAGGTGAAATGCTGACTTGAAATATTGAACAAACAAATTAAGACTTAAGCGACACTACCTCAACAATAAAACTTGAGAATATATTTGCGGGATTTCATTATAAAGATACCGCTATTTTCACTTGATCAATGTAAATTATTATATATTTATCAAATAATAGAAACTGCCCCCAGGAATAAGATAAAGCAGCTATGGCAAAATCATATAATATTGGCCGACTATTAGAGCTCAAGAAATCTTTTCAAGCACTATCAATTCCATTTATTGCCCCATCTTATAATGTAAAACTTTGACAAAATATCCAATGCAATAATGTTTGATTTTAATTTTTCATTGGGGGTAGAGAAATGGCATATAATGACATGGATTCCAATTCAAATTAAATTATAGAGACATTAGCTCTAAATCCATTAAAATTGGAAACCACATCTCATTTTGCCTCATCCATTGTAATTAAGAACGAAAATAATCCAGGGCAATACTCAGATTGTCTCAGAAGTCACAATCAATGTGCAAAATTGAAAAGAAATAAAAAGCAAAAAAATTAAGCATGAGGTTGTCAAAAAGTAAACGATCACTAAGGACACTATTAAATAGCATGTTTTCTTTTTAGGAATTTCTGAACCATGCACTGTCAACCACTTCAAAGTTTTCAATCATTAGCAATCTAGTTGAAACCTAACATAGGGTGCCAGCACAGGCAAGTTCGTAAAAATTGTGTGTTGAATTCTTCTCTCTGCATTGAATTTGGTGGGTACAAAACTTCAACTTAGCATGCAATTGAATGAATTGTATCTTCTGGCTACGATGTGACAAAACATGAATCCTTAAAATCAATACCTTTTTCAGACTTTTTCTCTTGTTTTTAGTCATTAGCTCAAGTATTTTAGACCGGTGGCATGAGTATCATATGATGAAAATGGGTATCTCAACAGTATAATACATATAAGAGACATGGTGAGAGATTACTGTACGGAATAGTTATGAATCCTTCATCTCCATTGACATCCTTATGGTTCTCCAGAATTTGGGAATTATTTTTCCCACTAGAGCCTGCAACACCGCCATTTTCGCTCCCATATCCATCATTCTCTCTGTTACGATCGCAGTCTTCAATCAAGGTACTCTTGGAAAATGAATCTTCAGCTATAAAACCCTCTAAAGTTGGCATGGGTTTCGAAGCATTACATGCCTCTGCCTGAAATTCATGAACAGCTGGCTGCTCTGGAGCTGCAGTCTGACCAGACCGCAGCATCAAAAAATTCATTTTTCACTGAAAATATTTCTGCATTATAAGAATAACAAATATTTAATCCAAAGAAACGTCTCCCTTATTAAGAAATCAAAGTTAAATAGCAATTGAAAATGAATTGCACTCGGGACTGCTTGAATTTCGTGTGTGTGTGTGTGTTTATGCGTAACCCTACTCTACCGATATTAACCAATAAAATGGTGGAAACAACAATAGAGAGAGAGAGAGAGAGAGAGAGATAGAGAGCGATCCAGCGATCTAGACTAGGGCTCGATTGGGTTTGACGTGAATTATGGACATATATATAAATAGATATAGATTGACACATAATTACAATCATAGCTCGATATTCATGAATTTGAGAATGAATTTGTGGAAATGAGGGGAACGGAGGTGAATACTTACTTGATCGGAGATGACAGAATGTAGAGAAGATGATCTACCTTGGAAAGCAATGGCAACCGGCGATTCGGTTCAGGGAGTTGCGATCACGAAGGCAAATGAAAATCAAGAATCGTGAGTTTCTGAATGCGTTCTCGGATCCGTGTCCATGCAAAATCATCCGGGTCTGGGTCGGGTGGTAAATGGTCCCTTCGCTCGACTCACCTCATTTAATTCTTAATTTTTTTTTTACCTTATTTATTTCTTTTATTTTAAACTATTAAGTTCACTTTATTTATACTCACTTCATCAGTTATTATGTTCACCCTGTTTTTACCAATTTAATTAAATTATTAAATATATATCAAAAAAATTAAAACAAAAATAACAATTAAAGCGAAATTTTAATGTTATGAGGTGATTGATATTATTTCAAAGTGTTTTGAAATATTTTTATATATTTTTACTAATGTCTTTGAAATATTTTAAGGTGTTTTAAGATATTTTTTATCAATATTTTAAAAATAATTTTTAATTTTTTATTAATTTTTTTCTGCATCAAAAATATTTTTGAACTAAAATAATATACCAAAACAAAATTTTGAGCATTGTCAATATAGTAGGTTGAAATAAAATTGAATGAATTTAATGTTTAATTAGTAAATTTAGATGGGATGTGTTTAGTAATTAATGAAGTGGGTATAAATGAAGTAAACTTAATAATTTGAAGTAATATAATTAATTGGAGTGAAAAATAATATTTAAAGGGTGAAAATAGCCTCACCCAAATATTTTTCATTTAGTAATGTTAGAGTGACAAATGAATTAAAAAATAAAAATAAAAATAAAAATAGGGATAAAATGATGTAATATTATCAAAATTGTGTTATTGGGCTCATAAACACATTAAAATTTTAAATATTTTTTATTATAGTAATTTCACATTATTTAGTCCATATTTTTCATCTTATTTTTTTTGTCAATTTAATATTACTCTTTTTTCTTTTAGACCGTGTTGAGTAATTCTTTAGTCATTATATGTTGGTTCATTGAAAATTCGGGTGATTTTAATAAAACTAAAGAATAAGTACTAAAAGTTTAATGTTAAATTTTAAGTATCAGATACTAAATTTATTAATTTGAAAGTTGTTTAGTATGTACTAAATAAGACCAAACTAGTTGCTCAATATAAAGTTTTGAAATCTAATTTTTTTTTTTTTTTAATTTTCCCATTCATCTGTATCACCTATATGTCGTTACCCTCTACTCCTGCCACCACTTTCACCATTACATAACAAGAAGCATTATCTTGGATTGGGGTGGCAACGACAACAACAGAGCAATAAATGACGTTAGTGATAGTGGGGGGTGATGGGTTGTGGGGTTATAGTGCTCGTTGTAGTGGTTGGTTGATAATACATGGTCATATGGGGCGATGGTGGTGACGATGACAATGGAGTGGGGTGCGGTGGTGATGGTGGGCTGTGGGTGGTAGGGATAGTTATTGTAATGGAGGGATGCCAAGAGTGATGAATAGTAATGGGGGGATCAGGATATGAGTGGGATCTTATGGCGGGTGAATAGTGCTCATGGTGGTAGTGATGATAGTTGGTGAGTGGTCATGGCAGTGGTGGTCATAATACAATAGTGGTAGCGGTGATAATGTTATGGTTGGGAGCGATGGAATAATAGGGGTTGGATGTGGTGACAAGGGACAATGATGATAGTGACAATAGCAAGGTGAGTGGTGATGACAAGAGGTGGTGTATAATTGGGGTGTAAAATTGATTGAAATCAAAATGTTTTAAAACATCTTGGTCTCTAATGACAAGTTTGTTAAATCTTTATTAACAAACAATTGTAGTATTACGTAATAAGTAAATGATTTACTATTTAAAATTTTAATTATTACAACACTTAGTTAAAAAAATATAAAGTATTTTTAATTTTAAGTGTACTATTTGGTTATCAAATACTACATTTTCCATCCTAACCTATTTTTCAAAACTTTCATTAATCATAGTACCATACTATTCCCACAAGGTCATAATTCTTGCTATGAATTTTAGTCCGTGAAATTCCTTTTAACATATATATATTTTAAAATATTTCTTAGTAACTTATTTATTGTGTATTTGACTAAGACTTTTTATATATAAATACTAGTTATTGTCTGTGCTTAAAGACATAAAGTAATAAATAAAATGATCAACAATAAATATATTTGTATTTATATCTAAAATCAAATTACAAATATAGAGGAGATAAAAATGAATTTAAGTACCGATTATAATAACAATGAACGATGATAGTGGTAGTAGTGGCAGTGGTGGGGTGGCGTTATTGGTGGTGGTGCTAGTGGTGATAGTCGTGAGGGGTGGTGGTGAGGCTATAGGGGTGATAGTTGGACAGTGATGGTGGTGGTGGGGTGGAAGTGACAGTTGTGGTGGTGGTGGTAGTGGAGTGACGACAATTATAATGGCGAAGATGGTGATAATAGGGGACAGTGATGCTAGTAGTGATTGTTATGGTAGAGGTGGTGGTAGGGTAACGACGATGGTTGTAAGACAGTGGTGGTGGGTGAAGGTGACGGTGGTGGTGGTGGGTATAATGGAGATGGGTGGTAGTCAGGTGTTGATGAGGTGGCAACGATAGTGATGATATGGTGACAACGAACGATGGTGGTGGTAAAGGCTGTGAGGATGGTGATAGTGATGATGGTGGTGGGTGGGATAGGGACATTGGTGGTGGGGTGGCGACAATGGAGTTGCTAGTGGTAGTAGTAATGATGGTGGGAAGTAATTTGGTGGTGGGGGTGTGGTGGCGGTGGTGGTGGTAATGGTAATAGTGGTGGGGGATGGTGGTGGTGGTAGTGGGGGCAGGGGGGTGATGGTGATAGGGTGGTTTCAAACATTATTTTTTTTAAAAAAAATATTCAAGAGAAATTATAACTATTTAAAGCACTTTTAAAAAATCACTTTAAACACACATTTAGGAACCTATTTTTCTGATTAAATTTAGAGAATTAATATTAACCGTCGAATTAATTTTAAAGTAAAATTGAAAAAGATTTCAACTACGAATAATAAAAGTTATTTTATTTATTTTTTGAGATTTGAATTGTATTATACTTTATTATATAAATATTTTTTACTCATTAATAATAGATAATTGATTAAGAGCTGAATTGAAGAGAAAATATGGGGGACGATATCTCGATAACAATTGCTATTTTTCCTTGTGTCAAGCTTATATAGGTCCTCACACATCTGATCACTGCTCACACAATGACAGAAGTTGGTAAGTGATAATGGCGCACGTGGAAATGCGGCGATGCGCAGCTCAGCATTAATCAGATCTACCCATGGATTTCAAGGATATTTACCATTTTAAACATGAAAAATATTATTTATATTTAATTTAGTGATTTTATTTAATAAGATAATAAGTCATAATTATTGAATCGATAGTGAATCTCAATCAATTTAATGACATAAAATAATAAAGTCATCAAATAAGATCACTAAATACGGTACATGTAGCACCGTTCTTTAAATATTTGTTAGGGAGAATTACACCTAAACCTCTTGAGTTTTGTCATTTAATCACTCATACACCTGACATTTGAAATATTTCATATAAATCATTTGAGATTTGTATGTGTGTAACACTAAATTACACTTAGACCCTCTGAAATTTGTAAATATATAATACTTGGACTTTTTAAGTTTAAAATATTATATTTAGACAAAAATATTCTAATCAAAGATAAAATATTAAATATTTTAAATTTTATAACCAAAATTCATGTTCTATTGTATTATTTATTGAAATAAAATTAAAATTTTAATTTTAATTTTTTCTTAAAAAATCATAATTAGTATACAATTATACTATCTATTAGAATAAAATTAAAAAATTAAACAAGAAGTTTAAGGGACTGTTTGTTTACTGTTTTTGTTTTGTGTTTTGTGTTTTTGTTTTCAATTTTTGTCAAAAAAGAAAACAAAAATATGTTTGAATACTGTTTTTGTTTTTGTTTTATATTTATTTGAAAACAAAGACAAAAAAATGATAACAAAAAATTTGTGTTCTAGGAAACACACAAAACACGCGCTTCTTGATTAAATGAGGTCTTAATTTCGAGTCTTATTAGCCACAAAAGACGAGTTTATTTCTCAAAATATAAATAGGGGGTCTTTTTTCATTTTCCCACTCATAGAGTTTTGACAACTCTTCTCTTCTCTCTTCTTAGCAACAACGACGAAGAACACACACAAATCGACTATCTCTTCTCCTCCATTCTCAGCAACTCTCTCTCTTCTTCGGAGCTCTCAACGACTCTCACTCAACAACGAAGACAAACCGATGGTGCTCTGCCTATGAAGACGAACTGAAACCCTTTGTCGATCTCTCTCTTGCTATGATGGTGCTCTGCCTTCAAAGACGAACCAATGGTGTTCTGCCTACGAATACGAACAGAAACCCTTTATCAATCTCTCTCTTGTTGTGGATATATGTATATAAAACACTATATATACATAAATCTGTGTATATATATGTATATATATACATATATCTATGAATATACAACTTAGATCTGTATTTTTATCTGTATGTGTGTCGATTTATGGGTGTGTACGTGTGTGTCTCTGTTGATTTGTCTGTGTGTCTCGCCTCAGTCAAACCATTGAAAGCAACAATCTCATGTGTGTGTGTGTGTGTGTTTTGATTTTAGGTATGGCTATGAATCTGCAATGATGGGTTTGAATTTGCATATTTGATTTTGGGTATGTCTATCCTGCGACTCTGAATAACCATTATTGGCTGAAGCAATGGCTACTAACCAAATCGCCTTGTGGGGAGCAAGCTAAACAATGAAATCATTTGATCCTAGAAGGAGATTGTAAGAGGGTAATTACAGTGGAGCACTACATGACTCAAATCTCCCATACACGATTAGAGTTGCAACACAGTATGATCTAAGTAGTGATAAGTTAAGCTGCTGTGTTGAGTTTGCTGTTTGTTGCTATTGTGTTGAGCTTGCTTGTTTCTTTTTGATCTTACAATATATTCTTTTACTATGGGACGAAGGAACTTCTATTCTTTTATTTCAGAAGATCAACCATGTACGTGAATTTTGATAAATTAAGAAATTTTTAGATTTGTATTTTGTTGTATGAAATATTGTAAAACATATTTAAGATAAAAACTTGAAGTAGTTCCCAAACTTATATTTTATTTTTATTTTCATAATTTAATAAACACAAATGACTCCGAAACATATTTTCTGTTTCATTGTTTATCACAAAACATAAACAAAAATTGTTTCTGTTTTTTATTTTTTTGAAGACACAAAAACAAAAACGTTATCAAACGACTCTTAAGTCCTTTTATAATAGAACATGAATTTTACATCCAAAATTCATGTTCTATTATGTTATTTATTGAAATAAAATTAAAAATTAAAAATCTATTTTTTAAAAAAAATTATAGTTAGTATATAATTATACTATCTATTAAAATAAACTAAAAAATTATATAAGGGGTCAAACTGTAATAAACATAATATCTTTTAGCTTTAATTGTGGTAGTTTTGTATTATAATTTGGTCATTTAAACGACCAAATTAAATTCCAGTAGACAATATAATTGTATACTAATTACAATTTTTTAAGAAAAATTAAATTTTTATTCTTAATTTTATTTCAATAAATAATACAATAGAACATAAATTTTAATTATAAAATTTAAAATATTTAATATTTTATCTTTGATTGAAATGTTTTTAGTCTAAATATAATATTTTAAATTTAAGAGATTTAAGAGATCTAAATAATATATGTTTATAAACTTCAGGGAGTCTGGGTATAATTTATTAATAAATATATTTACAGTAGGATTTAAGTGTTACGTGAATACAAATTTTAGGAGTTTGTGTAATATTTTAAATATCAAGGATACGGAGTGATTAAATAATAAATATTAAGGGGTCTAGTATAATTCTAGGAACAAACTAGGAATAAATACGCAACAACAGCACCAGACCAGAGAAAGAGAGTGTGGACGACATGAAACGCCTGACGTGGTTGGATAAGGATCTGCAGCGGTTTTGTTTCGGAGCATATAACTATGATATATGGAAATATTTATCATAAAAAGAAAATATATATATTTTTTATTCAATAAAATATCTCCATGTGTAAAATTTTATTATTTTAAATTATGTTATTATTTTTTCACAATGAATTAAACAAAGAGCAATAGCTATAAATTATTTGTTTTATATGACATTAATTTTTTTTATGATAATATAGCTTTAATTTACGTCACATAAATATTCACGATTTATCTTAAAAATCCTATTTTGGATGAGTTCCACGTCACCAAAAAAAAATCTTCTAATAACCCAAAGCGATTCGTGGCTGACAATAGAAGAAGAAGCAATTTGAGAATGAACTCTTTTAATATAAGAGTGATTGGGCCTTTAAAGTTGAAGGAAGCAACCATGGTGTCTAATTTGATAGAACATGGGAGTGGTGCTAATAACTCATATAATTCATATTTTTAGGGCTTAATTAGAAGGGATTAATTACATTAATCTCGATAAGGACTCACAACATGAATGATTTATTCTACATAAATATTCTAATTTCAATATAAATAACCTGTTTTTAATCAGACCGAGGAGAAGATTAGTTAAACCGGAAAGCCCATAGTTTGGATGCCAATAATACAAACAAGGGGGATCCTTCTGATAAATTTATAAATATGAGGGGACTAAGATATAATTAACCAACAAAACAAAAACAAGAAAAAGGCATAGTTTCAGTATTTCACCAATCACCATCAAGATATGGTAATTCGTAAGTGGCTCTAAAATTATTTTCAAAATAGAAAAATTCACATTTGCTTTTGAGCGAAGACACCGATTGTATTAGAATACTTCAGAAATAAAAAAAATATTGGTAATTGATGATTCTGCTAGTTTTGAGCTTCAAAGCTTCATTGTTTGTCTCCTCTCTCTCTCTCTAATTGATATTTATTTTGTCCATAATTCATGAACGAAAAGCGATTGGTGGGCATCTCTCGATCTTTGATATTCATTCAGAACGAAGCTTCACTTAAGATATTTTCAGTGGAACGAAAAGGATCGGTGTTCTTCTTCACTATGCTTCATCCTTCACCCCCATGTAGCTGCTTCCTGTGAAAAGATCAAACAGTCTTTGGTTAGTTTTTCTTATATGATTCCATATCTACCCTTTTTTTGTGCAGATTTTGAGAAAACTATGAGTTTTGCTTTATCTTTAGTCGATTAACTAGGTACTCTGTTCATGGTTTCGCTGTTTTCAGATCGTATTTTTATGCATTACACTTAACGGGCTGAGGTTGAGTTCTTCAATAGAAGCATATCAGAGCTCAACGTGCCACATGGGATTGGGTTTAATCTCTGTGCGAAAAGATACCAACTTTGAAGAACAACGAGTTCATTTAGTATGGAACCACAATCGTGTTTGATTGAACAGTCGTTCAATGGTCGATACTCAGTTTGGGTTCGAGAAGCTCTTGATGAATTGCCCAATAACTTCACTATAACTGACCCCTCTATATCTGGGCACCCAATTGTTTTTGCTTCTTGTGGATTCTTGAAAATGTTAGGATATTCCAAGGAGGAAGTAATTGGGAAGAATGGGAGGATGTTTCAGGGTCCCAAGACTAATCGAAGAATGGTACTAGAAATTCGAGAAGCAATTCGAGAGGAGAGGACTATACAAATTAATATATTGAATTACAGAAAAGATGGGACACCATTTTGGATGTTGTTTCATCTGTGTCCTGTTTTTAGTAAGGAGGATGGAAAGGTGATTCATTTTATTGGAGTTCAAGTGCCCATTTTGAGGAAACCGAGGCGGTCTGGAAGTGGGTATGTGAGAAATGGGGTATATTTGTGTGAAGATGGGTCAGGAATGCGGGAGACTGTAGTTGGGTGTTGTAGGAGGGAGGTGTGCTCGGATTCAGTGGTGGAATTGGATCGCATTTTGGCACTGCAATCGGTGATGGATGCTGATGATAAAGGTTTGTTTCGTAGTTTGCAGTCCTGTTATTGTTTTGATACACAAAGTATGAACTTGTTTGCTCAGTGATTCATTATGAATTGAGCTGCATTGTTGAAGTCTCAAATGGAATTACAGTGTAGGTGTTTCTTTGTATTTACAAATTCACATTATTCTTGTAACTTCATGAAGAATTCTCTTTATATTACTTCTTTTAAATCATTACAGTGTTGCTGAAAGTTCTTGGATTGTGGTTCTTGCGGATGATAAAGTAGTCATTAAATTCTCATCATCCTTTTTGTGCCTGCTGATTTACACTGGTTTGGGAAAGTTTTTAATGGCAATGGCAGTTTAAATGTCAAGATTGGATACTGGGTACTTGTATTTCTGAAGTAATTATCATGATTTCTGTTTATTGAGTGAAAATATGTACTACTGCTATATAAATTTACCCCCATCGTCCTGCTTCTGTTTATTTTTTGCTCTGCTTCTGTTGTTTGAGGTTCGAAATTATTTCCTTTATAAGTCAGAGAACTTCGGTTTTAGTAAGGTAATCAGCACTTGAGCTATGTCTTGCAGAATTTGAGGTTGACGAGGCTTGTGAGGCAAATGATTTGGAGAAGCGAGAAGCTGCTACTGCAATCAACAATGTATTGTCTGTGCTAACACACTATAGTGAGCTGACGGGCAGATTGGTCTGTGGAAAGAGATGTGGCTTGTCTGGGAGGAGTCTTCTTGGAGCATCCTTAAATATTTATCTTGGTAGAATCAAACAAAGCTTTGTATTGTGAGTTTTTGAAAATTCCTAATCTTCTTATGGCACTGTATAGATTACTGTGCTTTACAGAGATGTTGATATATATGCTTTCTATTTCTGGCAACATCGTGTGTTGCCGTGCAGAACTGAGCCACACTTACCTGATATGCCTATTGTTTATGCAAGTGACGGCTTCCTAAAGTTAACAGGTGCTTAGTTGTATCATATTTTCAATGGTATTTAGTATTTTATTTTTCCACATAGGAAGTTTCCTAGCTTGAGAAAAGGAGAATATACACTTTCTTTTAGTTTTTCATCTAAAGGTAATTATTTTTTCAATAGGATATGCTAGGCATGAAGTATTGGGACACAATTGTAGATTTTTAAATGGGCAGAATACGGATTCCTCAACTCAATTCCAGGTTACTGTATTTCTCACGTTAGCTCCTTGTGTTTTGTTGTGCCCATGGTTACTATGTAACTTCGTCAGTGGAATTATTAATACGATTTTCGCAGTGTTACTTGTGGATTTTATGTAGTGGACTATTTATTAGCACAAAAACAATATTGGAATTGGAATTCAGTTGAGTCGATAGTTTCATATTGCAAATTATCCTGCAGATAAAGGAGAGCATTAAAGCTGAGCAAGCATGCACAGTACGCATATTAAATTATAGGTTGATACCTTAATATTTTTTTTTATAAAATTTGGTTTTAGAGAAAACTGCATATCCTTCTTTGGATTTATATCTTTTATTCGCTGCTTTGTTTTCAGAAAAGACAAGACACCATTTTGGAATTTTCTTCACATCTCACCTGTTCGAAATGCTTCTGGCAAGGTAATGTATTAACTTTCATAACTTAGTTCTGTCATCATCCAACTGGACCTTTACAAATGTCTAATAAGTGTTTCATCCAGCTCGATCTTTACAATGGCTATTAGTAAATGAATGTTGGCAAATGGTTGCCAACATTCTCTGCCTTCAAATTGGTTGAGGGTTGTACAGCCTTTAAACTTCCAATCATTGATGATGGATTTTGTTTTGTACCTAAAAAAATGAAGTATAAATAATGATTGCTATGAACTAAAATTACAGTCCAAGGCCAGCTAAGCCGAAAAAGCAATTGAAATACTAGTCCTAATTGTTGGGTGTAATGGAATGTATGTTGTTAATTCCATGTTGTCTGATAAATTTTGCTTATAATATATACTAGAAAGTAGATGCATTTGCTATCCCTCTTAAGTCATAGCCTGGCTTAGGGAGAAACTGCTGATAGTGCTAAGTGTTCTGTTTATGATTGTGTTTTTATCTATTTCATGTAACTCTTGCAAAACCACCCAAACCATGCCCAAGTCTTTTTTGGATATGAACAAATCTGGTGGAGCAGCATGGTTCACAATCTTGGACATGTTCTGATTGTGTAGTGTGTGATGTTGCTTTTGCTTGAGATGATACTTGTATTGAGTATGCTTCTTTTGGTTTGCTTTGTTCATTTTTGCTGCTTCTTTATGTCTATGCCTTGCTTTCATCATTCATGCTTTGGTTACTGCTATATATGAACATGAAGCTTCCCAACACAACAAACTCACAATGTATTGAGTAAACGTTGATGTATGTATTCTTCTGGCTTATATTTGAGTTATTCAGTCTACCCACTAGTGAATAAATTTGGGTTGCACTCCCTTGGCATCCCTTGAAGATTGATTGTGTCCATCAGAAATTTAAGTATATTGTTGAAATATAAATACTTAAATTACACTCTCTCTAAAAGGTTAAGCTTTTGGAATGAATGGTTGTTTAACATAGTATCAGATCTGCGCCTTAGGTGGTCAGTGGGCCAAGTCTCTTACTCATTTGAAATTTGGTATGCATAGTTGTTTGTTTGCCAACTCCACATGCGAGCCCGGGTCCCATTTGAGAGAGGGTGTTAAGAGAGCTTGTATCCTACATCGAATAATTAGGACCAACAAGGTTGGTTTATATACTTGAGGGACCGCTCCATCCATGGCCAATTGGTTTTGAGTTGAATGTTCTGACATGGTATCAAAAAAAGAAATTATGTGTTCAAATTTTGTCGCCATCCTAATTATTAAAAAGATTTTCATGTGTTAAGCCCAAAGTCTAGTCTGCAAGTGAGGAGGTGTATTGAAGTATAAATACTTAAATTACACCCTCCCTAATAGTTTAAACTTTTAGAGTAGATGGTCGTTTAACAACAATCAATGGTTTTTACCCTTGGTTGTTGGAGTTCATGATTTATATCTACAGAATACGCATGCTTATCTGTATGCGATTTTTTTTTTTTTTTACAATTAACTATATTGCGGTCTTTATTTAGGATGAGAAAACGTGATGCATATAGATAGCTACGAGTTAAAAAAATCCAAAATGGTAACTGAGATAAATCTATTTGCATTTGGTACATAAACTTAATCTTGGATAAATATGAGATTCAAGAGGTAGCTCTATGGTCGGAGGTGGTGAACGAGAATTACCCCTACCCGAGATTGAAAGTTTGCAAATCCCACCCTTTCAAAGACAAAGGAAACCCTAGTCTGCACACGCTTGTACTCTATCTTGCTCTCTCATGCACCCCCAAAAAAGGAAGTCCTGTAAGGCATTTGCCTTTGGTTTTCACCCTATGAGATGTATGACTATTATGCTTTACACTGTCAAGTGTAAGCCTCATGACTTAGATAATTTGCAGAAGGCATAAGCCTCACAATCTGAGGTGTAAGGTTTCAGTGCCTTTTGTGGCTCTTATGGAAAGTTGGTTTGTGAGGCTTACCTCTGATGAAATCACTGCGATGGGTTTCTTTTATATCATTTATGTGATGTTCTAGACTCTATAGTCAATATAGAACACAGTTAAGAGGCAAAATTCCCGGAGAGAGTAGAGTTAATTTGGGACAGGTGCAAGGATCAAAATTTCGTTTCGAAGTACCGTTTCGGTCAACTCAAAAATAGAAACGTTTCGGAAACATTTCGGAAACGCAATGGAAACGCAGAAAAAATATGGAAACGCATAGAAACACAAATGCAATCCATTAATTTATAAAGATATGCTAAATAATTTATTAATTCAACATATTTATTAGGTTAACATCAATTTATACAAGAATAAATTTAAATTTGAGGGAAAAAAAGGCTTGACTTGAGGCGAAAGTCACTTAAATTAGTTTCAAACACTTAATTTTTATGAAATAAACACATTTTTACATAATATTAAGGTCTTATAATACACATGAAATGCTAATGAGTACATACTTACATGGTTACATCCATTCCCCTGTGGAGTGTCGAGCAGGCTCATACATCGGTGTAGGCTCTGGGTAGCTACTTAGAGAAACTCCATATGTGACATAAATATGATGATAATAGTTACTCCAAATCATATTATTACGGTAATATAATCCAATTAATAATACTATTTTATTATAATACTAATAATGAAGGGTATCAAATTAAATTAATGATACTTATGTATACTTAAAAATTAAATGTAATTGCAGTGGGTATTAAATGTAATTACAGTAGGTATTAAATATAATTGCTTAGGGTATTAAATGTAATTGTTAATACTTATAACAAAAAAAAAAATAAAAAACTTGCACAGCAGTGAGGTATTAAATATAATTACAGTATGTATTAAATATAATTATAATGGGTATTAAATATAATTATAGTAGGGTATTAAGTGTAATTATTTATTCTTATAACAAAAAAATTATAAAAGACAGAAGAGCAGTGGGAATTAAATGTAATTATAGTGGGATATTAAATATAATTATAGTGAGTATTAAATGTAATTACAGTGGGTATTAAATGTAATTATAATGGGGTATTAAATGTAATTATTCATAATGAACCGAATATATCACTGTTTTGTCGAAACGGTACTGTTTCGATCGAAACGGTACTGTTTCGATCGAAACGGTTCGAAACAATGCCGTTTCGACCGAAACGGTCCGAAACAGTACCGTTTCGACCGAAACACTGGAATTTTGTGATTCAACTACTGTTTCGTTTCGGAGTGTTGAAATTCCGAAACGTTTCGGACGTGTCGATACGACATTTTGATCCTTGGACAGGTGTATATTAAATCTGGTTTTTTAAAAATTGTTCCTATAACTCTCTAGTGTTTCTATTTTCTTTTTTGGGTAAATATAATCTTTTTAGGAAAATAACACTATGAGTCAGAAATTTGGACCATTTCTGTATTTGTGTGTGTCATCCTTGCGTAGAATTCTATGCTAATCGTCTCTGTATCTGTCCAATTTCATTGGATGTTCCCGAAGGGACAAAAAAGTCTCCACTTTCTTTATATAGTGAACATAAGTTTACGAACGGAATGGCTTGTGTTTTGCTTCTGCCAGCAAGGGGAGGGAGGTGGGGTGGGGTGGCGGTTGTTTCGGTACAGTTTGGGGGAAGGGGGCATTGCATGTGCCTTGCGTTACTTTTGACCTTTTAAAGAATAGCCCTAGATGTCAACCATTCAAATCCATTAACTGCTTGCCACCATATATGCAAAAGGACATGTTTTGAAGGCTTCTTTGCATTTGCCTTTTTTGATTATAACTAATCAATTGCAGTCCGTCTCTCTTAAATTCTAGCATGTCTCTTTTTTACTAGGACATTATGGTATTTCTAGTCTTATGATATATTGTATTTCGGCTACTCCATGTTGACTTTTTCATCTTAAATACCCTTCATATCCAGTAGTGTGGATTTCCATTGACAGCATTGACTAAACCATGAACTCAGTGTGACTTGTGGTCGACCTTCACTTGTAATAGAAGTTCACAATATTCAGAAGAAGATAGATAATTCTGAGGAGTCGAGTTTGGATTTGCCAAATGCTGCTGCACAATCATTAGGACAATATGGTGATGGCGTCACTATGGAATTGACGTGTTACTGTCATAACTTTTTCACCTTATATGGTGAAAAGGGCATTTGCTGTCATTGCACTGAAAAATCAGAAGAGTTGAAATGCAAAAAGAGAAAAAAAGGAAAGAAAGAAAGAGGATGGAAGAGGAGAGAGAGAGAGAGCGGGGGGGGGGGGG